CTACTTCTTCTACTACTACTACTATTACTACTACTAACTACTACTAACTACTACTAACACTACTACTCTAACTACTACTCTAACTACTACTCTAACTACTACCAACTACTACTAACTACTACTAACTACTACTAACTACTACTACTACTACTACTACTACTACTACTACTACAACTACTACGACGACGACGACGACGACGACTACTACTACTACCACTACTACACTACTAGTTCTCATATCAACGGCTAGGTAGGTCTGGGATATGAGGATCACGTTGCCTGTTCAGGTACCTTTGAAGTTGCGGCCTTCCCGTGGCCATTTTGGGTCAAGGTGTTCACCTTGACGGTCCGGGAAGGATCGCTCGATTTTCCGGTGATCAGGAACTCAGCTCTAGGGCCTGGGAGATCGAGCCATGGCTGGTTGGGGTACTCCAGTTCAATCCTGGGATCAGTACCAAGGTCATGGGCAAGATCAAGGCCAGGGCGGAGGATGGGGCGGGCCAGGTCGCCGTGATGATCGGCGCGCTCGCGGCCGAGGGGGAGGTGGGCAGTTCCCACAAGCAGCTCATAACCGGTGGACAAGCGAGACGATCGGATCGTGTCGCCTTTTCAGGCCTGGCTGGTTCGTGAGATCATGACGAACAGTTCGAGTTCGATCAATGTTCTCACAGAGAGAGATCAGGTGATGCCACCTCAGTCCGGTTATCACCTGTCTCTCTTTGCCAACTACACGCTCGATGGTTTTAAGGCGACGGTGTCGATTTCGATCGACTCGCAGACGGGAGCTCCTTGTGGTGGATGGGATCCTGCCACAGCAAATGCTCTCAGCCATGTGGCTTTTCAGCCGTTTTCGTGGCCGGTGCTCAATGACACATCCCCTTCTTACACGGATGTGAAGATCTACAATGGAAACGAGATCCTGTTCCGCTGGATCTTCAGAGGTTTTCGCGCTGACACCGATCTGTCAGTTCAGCAGCAATTCGCCGATGAGTTCTTCATCAAGGGCGTCTGCCGCGGTCGTGTTCGGCTGTCAGTGGTCGTGGCGGCTTTTTCAGGTTGGCGGGTTTCGGTGTTCGCCTTCGAATGCGGAGGCCGTACCTATTCGGTCGGTCCCAATGGCACAGTGATCGCTGGTGACAGCGCAAGGTCGCGCTTCGAGCTCCGAGTCACGGACCGCTCGTCCGAGGATGGTGTGGGGAACGACGCAGATCGGGTGGAGTTTCGCTACCGTGACTCCAACAACCGCATCGATCTGAAGTGCGCTCGCACCTCGGTGCCGGCGACGTGGCTCACAGTGTCGCATATCAGCGGCCCCACCCTCATCCAGACGATCACCCGGGGCCGGAGCAGACGGAGCAGTTCGCTCAGCTAGCAGCTGCTCACCAGCACTGGTGCAAGGCTCACACGCTTGATGCAGACAAGGTCGGGTCCTCGTCACTTTCGTGGCTGGACTGGATGCGGGCAACTTTCACGCGCAGACAGAGAGCAAGCCATAGCAAGCCCTTTGTTCGCGAGCCCGAGATCGTCGGCACACGGGCGCTCGCTGAGATGACGCACGAAGGTGCAGCTCTCGGTGCCGTGCCAAGGGGTCCCCCAGCTCTCGCGCAAGGGGCTTGGACCGCGGTCGGAGAGACAGCCCAGGCGATCGCCGACACAAGCCGTGGCTCTGGTCAAGTCGCACTTCGTACCCGAGCTCAGGACGATATGAGGACACCCGAGGTCACTTCTCTGACCCAGCTCGGGACACAGCTCGCGAGGACCGCTCTTTCTCCCGGTCGACGGCAAAGCTCACGCCGCAGATGTTCGCGGAGATGACGGGTCCAGGCTCACACGTGACCCGATCGGCCGCGGCCAGCTCGGCCGGACCTGGTTAGCAATCGACGGTGACGGTTCGCGAGGTCATGGAAGCCGAGCCGGATCAGGCTATCCGCTCAGCGAGCCAACCTCGTTCCGGCCACACCGGACGCCATGATCGGCAGGTGGAAGCAGTCGCTCAGTTTTGCTTGTGAGCGATCGCTTTACAGAAGCCCTCTCGGAGGAGCAGTTTAATTTTGCAAGCTCCCGTATTTTGGCTGTTCTTTGATTGTATCTCAGACAGCCCGCTCGGGAAGAGCTCAAAAAGAACTGGCCGCGTGATCACGCGAAGTGGTTTGCAGCAGCCGTTCTTATTCCAGACTTGTAGTTCTTTCAGACAAGGTTCATGTCAGGTCAGTTCGTTTGCAAGTGCAGCTCTGCAGCCACATGTTCACGCATGGCAATTCTGCGCATGTTCTTGCCAGTGCAGTTCTGCAGTCACATGTTCATGCTGTTCATGTCTCCTGCTCTCCCTCCTCTCCTCCTCCTCTCTGCTCCT